AAGGGTTATAAGGATTGGTTTTCTTTGGATAACCAGGGACTAAGAAGTTTATTCTGTGTTGAGAAAGTTGCTCTAAAGTCTAAAATGAAGTGCAGACTTGATTGGAACCTTTTGTTGTTCAAATATTTTTTGTTTTGTCCTGTCTATAACTACAGCAGGGTCTGTAATGGTTGTCAGTGCCATGAAATGTGGTTTGTTTGGGGAATTTGCCAGTGGTAAGGAGAGCAAAAATTTGGGGACTGTGATCAAACTTCCATGGAGGAAGTCCAACTCTTGTGTCTAGCTGGTTTTTATTGTACATTAAATTATTGCTGTTCTTTAGCACAAAGCAGTGTACATACACATATAAACCCTTTTCCCTTTCTCATCTGCAAGTTTTGTGGATGAAATTTTTAACCTCCTGAACTTCCTGTCCTGGCTTTGCATAGAGCCTGCATGGACATGGGAATCCTTAATAAATGTAGGGTGTGTAATGGTGAGCTGAGGGACTACACTAGAAAAGGGTACAATGTACAATGTGGTTTTCAAGCCCAGCTTTCAATGCAGATGAGCCAGTTATCCTCGGAAGTGGAAACTGTTTGTTCATGAAACTTATTGTGAAAACATTTCTTTTCTCAGTGAAGCCAACAAAAGAAAGGTGTATCATGAAATTCCACCAGAACCAGATCTTGGAGTTGTTATTGAAGAGGAAAATGAGGAGGAAGATAAAGATAAGCCAAAAGTAAGTACATTTTGAAAAGATGGAGTGGTATTTAATTTAGCGAGGGAGGTTTGCAGTGTAGCTTTAGTTTTGATATACTATGTTTTTCAAATAAATTATCTAACCTGGGAATGAAAGTTGCCTAGGTTATGCCTCTTAAACCATTTCACTCCCAAGATCTCATTACTCTTTCTCCTTACTGTTTGCAGTACAATTTGTGTGGTGTTAGATCGGAGAATTTGGTTTTGGATCAATTAATAATCCCCAAATCAGTGTTTTTCTTTTTTCTCATCACTTGTCTGCTTGATATTGTATTGGTATTGTGAGGAGAAAATCTGTCTTGGTCACTCATGAGATTTAAATAGACATGCAATCATAAAAAAGTAATACCGGTAATAATAATGATGATGAGAACTTCATTAAATACAAAAGGTCAAACAGTTGAATGACACACTTTATTTTTTCAGATGATATGATATTATACAGAGTCAGTTCACTTTGTTATAAATGCAACTTATCTACTGTGCAGAGCTTCTTATTTACTACAACACCAGATAAATTCAAATGAATCCACTGTATACAAAACAGGCTTATGCACAGGCCTCCAGTTGCCAAGCCCCTCATTTCAGTTTTATATATGAATGTAAGCATCATGTGAGTTCTGAGATCATTAACATGTAAACTCTTACAGATATGTTCAATCCTAAGAATTTTGCTCATATTTCAAAGTACAAAAATGATGATAATGATTTCCATTTTGAAATGGCAGGCTAATCCTTTCTTAAGTTACATCTTCTTTTCAGCTGATAGTTAGCAATAATGATTGTAGACAAGGTTCTATTTTTGACTGAAAAATTGAAAGCCATCCACATGCATACTCTCTGAACTATTCATAGCAAAATTCACCAATAACTTTGCTGCTCTTCACATACTGATACAGCCCTTGGTTTATCAAGTTCAATGTATTTCCTGTATTGACTGAAACATATTAGTTTGATTCAGTCAACAACTGAATCTCTCATCCAAAAATTCTCTTTTCCTAAAATACTTACTATATTAAGAAATCTTAGAAGCATTGTTATTTCTAAGATCTCACGACACTTACAAAATACACCATTAAAAAAGGGTTTAAAGTTCTTGGAAAGAACCTTTCTACAACCTATATATTTTTTTTTCAGTTTATCTACAAAAAAATTTACAAACAACTTGCCCAGAGATCTTCAAATCTTTATTCCACATAAAGTGAAAAAATCTTGTTCAACATCAGAAGTGGCTGTAACTTTTTGTTATAATTGTACGAGGCAAATCATAATGAATGACCACAACCTTTCGTTTGTTTAAATAATGAATACCATACGTATTTAAAAAGTTCTGTGAACATAACATTCTCAGTAGCAATACACTTGCATCAAAATGCTTCACAGGCCATGGCTAGAAATCGAAGACATCATGGCGGTTA